TTTTATGCCAAAATCCAATTCATGAACCAAATCTTCTAAACTATCCAAGGTAGATATTATATCATGTAAAGATTGTGGTGTAGTGGTTAATTTAGAAACACATTCTTCAAAAAGTAAATTATCCGAATGCGATATGCGAAGATTTTCTTTGTGTCCAGGTGGAATAACCGGAAATGTTATTAAAGAATCTTCATGATGTATATTAACTTGTGCATCTTGACTAGTATCAACTGTATCAACTTCAGATGATTCAATTTGGACGGGTTCCGAATGAACTAAATCATCTTTATCAACTATGATAATATCCGTTGGTTCGTTATTATTATGATCTAGGAGTTTTGCGTATTTTTTTCCAGTTTCGAAATCAATTTTCACATGAAGCCCTGTAGAAAATATTTCAAGTTTAAAAAAAAAAAAAAATGCAAAATACATTATTAAATCGTCACAAATTTCACTTGCTTCGAACCATTCTAAAGATCATATAGAGATATTTTGTGATGATAAACTTCATGAATCTAATTCCGAAACAATAAAGTTGGATCACGAAAAAGCGAACAATCCTACGACTGTTTCGCAAGGCACGACTGGTAATTTGTTATGTTACGGAAAAAAATGTCTTAAATTGTTTTTAATCTTGCCATTGTTCGTTATCAAGGTATTTTAAAGCGTAAACAGGATCTTTTACAAGGGTTAGATTGGATTGGAATTAGTGTTTCTTCGCCTATCGTAAGTACGACACATACATATATATTTAGTTATGCGACAAGTATAAACACCTAAATTTATTTTTTATCCAGAATATTACGAATAATACAACTATTTCAGGTGAATCATTAATATCTTTTAAAAAATCATGTAGTAGATGTACTAATCACATGAACATACTCCTTTAAAGAGACAAATCGAAGAAGCCAATCACAGTCTCTCCGCGGACGATACTCCAAAGAACCATTAACATCTACACATCATTTTAGACGCTTAAACTCACCATCTTTAAGCACAAAATTATCTAAAGAAAGGTAGTACTCAGGAGGAATGTTATTTTATTCAATACAAAAATAATCGAACATTAAATATTTTTAAAGCATGCATGAAACAATGACCGTAGTCGATATCGCAACAGTAATCGACTCAATGTCACCTTTAGAACAAACCAATGCATCTGAACCCTCGATTAGTGGAGAATCGTTAGAATGGCATCATTTCTTATCAACAAATGATGAATGCAACTCAAGAGTCAGTAAAATTGCCGGATCTCCGCCACCAAGCTGTAGTGACACGAGGATAATGCTTGAAGAAAATAAATCTCCCATTTCTACACCAAGAACGATAGAGACTTCTGCATTGCATTCTGTTATCCCCCAATCTGTCACCTCAACAAATATTGCGTGGAACAATTTTTTGCACACTAGTGACATAACTTCGAACGTTGATTTTGAGAGTGTCCAAGATGACAATGAAAAATTTGACATTAATTCCTTATTAAGTATACTTGATAGTCCTAAATTAAGTTCTAAAAAAATAATTGCAAATAAAAGGCGCAAGAAAATTAACCTTGACGAGTTTTCCGAAAACTCTAATAATAATGAGGGTAATTTAGGTGTGCAATTTCTTTTGATTCATTAAACTTATCAGTACAAATAATCTGCGCAGCAAAAAACGATAATAAAAAATTTTTTGCAAAAAAAATTCAGATTATATAAAAGAAGGCGAACAATTCAACTATAATCAAGATATTATAATTGGCCAAGTGAGTAGATTAATAAATATATATTTATTAATTATTTGTTCGCTTGTACACTTTCAATAATTATTGCATTATTGTCTGAAGAATGTTTTGAATCGCATCCATAATCTCGAAGTGAAAAATTCCTGCCTTCAATTGGAACTAAGTTTTTTGAAACAGGATATGAAATGTCTAATGAAGGCCACGAAGAATAATAGTAATGAAACTCCAAATGAACCACATAGTTCTAATATTCAAACGCAAACGGATGAGTTTGAACAAGTCTCTGTTACAAACATTGAACCATCAATAAAGCAAGACTTTATGGAACCTTATGAAACAAATCAAGACCCATCTCAGACTAACGAACAAAAACACTTTGTGAATGAACCATCTCAAGATGAAGTTTCTCAAGATTCGACTAATGCGTCTTTTTCTTTAGTCAATATCCCACATTCCGGTTCTGATCACGTGAAAGAGTGTACCAAAAATATCCAATCGTCTGTTTCATTGATGTCGCCAACGACAAATTTTAGTAATTGGGAGACCTTACCTGAGATGATGAATTCAGACATGTGTCTTTTTGATGCACTAGATGATGATGATGATCCACAAAAGTGTCTCGAAATATCTAAGGACTAATACTGTATCAATATTGATATATATTTAATTAATAAAATTACATATTTAGTTACTCTCTTGTTTATACCGATCAATCATAGGGTTGTTAAATGAGCGGAGTGGATTAGGTTAGGTTTAAACCCGCTCCAGATTTATGTTTCAATTAATTACAAAAGTCGCATGTAATTAATTTAATTGGATAAAATAAATTCATACTCATTGTTTTTTTTTTGATATATCAAACTCGATATTGAATAATATTGTTATTTCATTAAAAATAATTGATAATAACTATTATTTTTAAGTAACTGTTATATTTATCAGTTAAAGTTATAAGCAGTTAAAGTTTAGAAATTTGTACAATTTACTATGTTATTTATAAAATCAGCGTCATGCTTTTTCTGTAGAATTAAATTACTGTTATTTTCATTAGAAAAATTTATTCTAATTTCCGTTTCTTTCCGAGGAATGCGAAATCTTCTGGGTCTTTATATTAAATTTGCGTATACAAATTGGTTCACAATTTATATTGTTTTAAAGCAGCGTGTGTAACAGGAAATTTATTATGCGATACGTGAATTTTGCACATTGGTACATTTGTTGGCATATGATTGATTATGGTTAAGTAGAGTGGAGTAGCATACGTATTCAGAGTTTCGGCCGGGACACTATTATTACTATATCCCTGTAAAAAATTTTTTCTGAATATTTCCGTTATTTCTCAGTGAATCTGCAACATGATCGACAAAATCTAGGCAAGCCGAATAATCTCCATGATTTAATGTTATAAATTCCGTGAATATGCAACATTTATGGACAAAACACGGAATATAAAATACGGATCGACTTTTTTTATAGGG